AAATGAAGAATTATCATCCATGTTATTATCTCCAGGAGTAAAATAACTTCTTCGATTTTGCCAATATGTTTTGTCTTCCATTACCGTTGAACATAAGTCCTTTTCAAGAATTTCGTTATAACATACAAGCCTACTTAATTCTAAACAAGTATGTTTTAGTCGAGACGCTACAGAAGTTGCTACTTGTAAGATACGATCTCTTGTTGATGCTTTATATGGTATCATTAGAAATAGATTATTTCTGAATCGAATATCAGTTTGAAGTTGTGATGTTAGTGCGGAAATTTTTCCTTGAAGTTCATCAATTTTTGCCTAGAAGAAATTATAATTCATATAGTATGTATAATTTAAATAAAATAATACAATGACTGAATTACAAAGTTCATGCTAAGAAATGAACTTACCCGAACCAAATTGACCCGACCTTGCGATTCTTTTGCAGCAGCATCATGACTGTGTCCAAACATTCCAATCCCAAATCTCAATCCACCACTACTGGCACCTCGTCTCTGTTGTCCAACATAAGGATTCCGAAGATTTCTCATTTTTAATCCAGCCGTTTTAAATGTAGCTGCATAATTAATTTTTGATATCCAATCATTCATTTCTGCTTCACTCTCAGCTTGAAATAAATATTGGTGGCCTTTTGGACATACCAAACGAAAGACATTTTTATATTTCTCATAATTCTTATCATATACTGCCACCGAATCTGCAGTCATGAGTATTACATCTGGTTTTAGAACAGGTAATTTTGCAGATTCCTGAAAAAAAATCCGCATATAATTCAGAAATTAATGTTAACAAACGAACGTAATCATATGTGTAACTATAACATCAATGTAACAGATAAAAACAAACCTTTTCGGAATTTTTTAACTTTTTCATTTGTGCATTAAATCCCGCTTCATCTTTAAAGAACATTAATTGACTACCACTCAATATGACACCATATATTCTCCAACTTCTTATGAAACCAGTCTTCTTTTTACCATCTATTAAATCAACCTTCCTTCCAAGTTTACCACTTTTAGTTATTTTTAAAAGAAAAGTTCCGTCTTCATTTGTTGACTGAAGAGAACCAGAAGTGTTTTTAAAAGCATGACTTTTACGTCTGTTTTGAACACCCGTGATTCGAATCGTGTGAGGCGCAGAGAATGCACGATGAAGATCAGCAATATCTAGAGCTGGAAGGGTTCCCATATAGGAATATGGATTTTCTGTAGGAATAATATCTTTGATTTTGGGTTTAAATTCAGTCGGTATTTTCTAAAAATTGAGATGAATTTTATAAATTTTAATTATTATAAAAATTCAATTCACTGAATTAAAAACTTACAGTTTGTATAACCCAATAAGGATCATTCTTGGGACGCGTAGACTTTCTTCGTTCCTTTGAGGAGAAAAATTTCATTTGACGGTGTTGTGTCGGAGATTCAAGCATGGTCTGTCCATTAACATCAGTATCATCTTGAGCATATATAAATTGAGCAAAAGTGATATTATCATAAAGAATCTATAAATAATAATTTAATTTGATATAAATTAATAATAAATAGTAAGAAAAATATTTATAAAAAGTTAATGATATAATTACCTCTAATATTTCCGGATTAACACCATCAATACGTGTATTCTTGACAAATTCTTCTTTTGTCATCTTTCGCCTCACACTTTTATTATAAGCATCTGTGTGAAGCATCAATAAAGAGAATGCAAGAATATAAGGAGTATCTAAAAAAAGCAAGGACAAATATAACAAATATAACAAAGTTAACATGTTTAATGAGATAACACGACATTTCACCAACAATAATAATTTACCTGCAGAAGGAAATAAATCAGGGTTTGATTCATGATATCTTTTCGCAAATGCTTCTATAACACGATCAATTTGTTGAGTTTCTTTTGGTAAATTGCAATCCATTAAAAGTTTTCTTATTAACAAAATTTAATAATATATATATATAATTATTTAGAAATTTGATTAATTGGAGATTATTTATAAACATTCGCTTTTCATTAAAAATGTATATACCTTAAGGCAAGATCAATAGGGACTTTTTCAAATTCAAAAGATTCCATGTACGCCTTAAGAGCAGATTGATGAAATTCATCGGTTCTATAAATTAAGTAATGGGTTACAGTTTACACACAAATACACATCTAAACACGTATAAATTCTAATTTATAATTACGCAATAAATAAAACACACACTTTTGAGCTAATATAGTAACCAATTTGGATCTCGAAATACTATACATCATTCTTTCAAGATATTGTTTTGGAGTTTCACTATCAGAATTTGCTTCAAGTCCATTCAAATTTGTCATCGACTTTGTCAAAGAAATTTTATTTAAATTCTTAGTCACAGGCATAAAAGGAATGTTTAGAGTGGGAGCAGATCCCATACGTTTAAGTTGACGTTTTCGAGGTTGTTTCGTACAGGTAGTATCTTCTCCATCGATGGCGGACACAGAGTTTCCGATAACTGAATTTTTGGGCTTTGAGAAAGAATTGGTATTAACTATAGTTGAACTTCTATTATGACGAAATTTATTCTCTAGGAGTGAAGATACAGGAGGTTTTGTAGAAGAAACGACTATTGGAACATTTGAAGACGAAGAATTTGATAAAATATGAGGGGCAGATATTGAAGATTCATCATGGTTTGACTGGTTAATGTTTACAGGCAACGAAGATTTAGTAGGAAGTATATTAATAATTGGAGGACCAAGAATATCATCATTAATCGACTTCTTTACATCATATACAGACGAAGATTTTGCGGGAACAATATTAATTAAAGGGCGAGAGTCATACATATTATAATTTCCTTTCATTGGATCCTTGAAAGAAGACGTTGCCATTGGTTGTAAGGTTGATGAATTACAAACATTCCGGGTATTACACACATCTTCAAAAACAGAAGAATTGCGTTTATCAGATTCAAGTGGGTTAATATTGGGATTCCCGATATCGGGATTATTATTAGGACTCTTAGAAGAAACAGTAGTAGTCGTGACCGTAGTAACGGTAGTTGTGGTGGTAGTTTTTGTAACAGTGGCACCTTCAGTCGGAGTTGTAGGGCTTAATGGTTTTGTTTCGTCAATTATCTGATCTTGTTTAGGAACATTTAAAGAAGTAGGAATTTTAGTAGTAGTGGTGGTAGTTGTTCTTGCGGAAGGAAAGTCATTTTGCGGTTGAGGAGTTATAGCAGATTTTGCGGAAGTTGATTTCCTCCTGTTTGATAAAAACATATTCGCAAATAATTATATATATAAACCACCAAAATGAATGAATAACATGTGAATATTCGGCAGAAAGGAAAAAGAAAGTGGATTTGTGTATAAGACGGATGTCCTCTACAGATTTGGTTATAAATAAATCAAATACGAAATCTATGAAATCTGTAAAGGGATCGAAATGAAAGAATGGAAGAATCCGACAAAGAAAAAAAAAGAATGAATGAAAGGAGCCGTAAAAGGGGATCTTGTATAAACAAAACTACATCTCGAAAAATGTAACTCATGAAAATTTTTTGATTATATACCTATTGGTTTGGTTACACGCATCTATGTAAATTACTGGTTATTCCGTCATGCATTGACATTGAAAAGTAAAATGACTGGATACTTTTATATTTGATTCGATGTTAAAGTTTGTTATTAACTTAAAAATACACTTAATTTGCATAGAAATTCTTTATATGGTACAAGACATCTACACTTTGCACTCAATCACAAATTTTGCTCTTAAGTGTAGTCACGTGAGCATAGATTTTAAGACTTATATGTACCGTAGTTCCATTATTGTTATTGCTATGTTTATATAACACGACTCCTTGAACGCACAGACGAAATATAAACATCAAAACAATTTGCGCAATTTACGCATTTTACACAATTGAATGTAGTACCTTGAAATATCTCTTCTCTTTGGTTACGACTTTGACGACTCTATCGCATCCGATACCAAAAATACACAAACTTTATTAACATTAGATATATGCGTGTTCGACTTTTTAGATTTTTAAACAAAAGTATGTATCACATTTAAACTTTCCGATTATGTAGCATTATTACATGAGATGACGCATTCAGTATAACATATCTCAAGTATATGCAAAGTTTATGTTTATTCTGAATAAATATATATATCGATATATATCTTCACACTGACTCAAAAGCAATGTACTGCATTTTATCGCTGTTTTCGAAATAACGATAAGCCCTTCAAATTGATTAGGCAGCCTATGACTAAGCAGTTTAGCCAAGTAAGTCAAGCGGTTCAGCCAAGTTAGCAAAGCGCGATGAAATTAAGATAGGTTTTTAAAAAAATGAAATGTTCTTTGTTTATACACTTTTTCACGCCCAATTGCTTGTCTAAAATTGTCCCGTGATAGCAGTGCATAAAGAAATTATCATATAGATACCGCCAGAGCATCGATCCATAAGATAGATTGAGTCTGGTAAGGTAACAGGTTTTTCTTTATGTACTAGGGTCCGTAATGGGCCGCATAGAAGAAACTCCAGGGAGACTGTCTCAAATTAGGGGCGGAGATAAATGATATAATTGATATTGATTGAGAGGTCGTTTTAATATGGAGTCAAATGATTGACGCACCTAATTTTTATATATAAAATTTAGGAAAATTTTGCTTTCTGGGTTTATTTAATAATAAAAATTTTGTTGGTTTAATTTATGGATGTCGTTTGCAAATTCCCTGGCCTTCGAAGGTTCTTCTCACGAAATTTCAAGGGTGGTTTAAAATACGATTTTTAAGGATCTATAATTTTGGCGTGTTCTATTTACCCTAATTTGTTCATGCAGTGTAATATTCTTTACTATTTATACTTATGCAGTGTATTTTTTTTACTGTTTTTTGCATTCTGTATTACATTTGTGCATAAGATCGACGGCCAAAATTTCCTTTAAATCTATAAAAGGAGAGATTTTCATCTGCCATTTTTATATATACATAGATACGTACTTCGATTCGAATACACGATTCGTATATGATACTATGCATGGTGAAAAAAAAAATAATAATAATAATTAGAATCGATTAAAATGTTTAAATTCTAGTAAAAAAAGCATCCATTTTGCACTTATGTGTCTTTCCGATTTAGATTTGTTTTTACTTTTCGAGCTTTTTTCACACTTTTAGTTTTTTTTTCTTCGGATTTTCTGCCGGTATGATGAATAGATAATCACTGATCGTTAAAGAAACCATAACGAAGTAATTTGATAATAGCCACTTAATCGATGCAACAATGTTAGTGTAATACAGTAAATGTTTTTTCCTATTGGATGAAATTTTTGATTAAATGATGATAGTGAAATATAAAACAAATATAACCTGAGCTTAAAACGAAGCAGAAAGTTTTTGTATTAGTTATTTTCAAAATTATCCTTATGTATTTGTGTTCTATTTCATTAAAGATATAAAATTTTATACTGCTTCGCTTAATTTTCTAATTATTAGTTAGCTAATACTGGATAACAAAGCTGTCTGTATATATAAGTTTTAATACTTATATTTAAATTGTATACACATTATTGTGTAATCTTGATTAAAACTTAAAGTTTGCAACATAATATTTTTATATAAACTATTTTGAAATGTGGCAAAAAAGATTCAAATTTGGCCGAGTGAAGTGAGGCCAAACCATAAGGTCAAGAACTAGGAAAAAATAAATAAATAGAAATACTGCTTTAAAAGATATTTTGGTTTCAACTAATCATGTAATATCAAATACGTAATTAGTGCCATGTTAACAACGTGTACTGCTATATCTAATTATTAATTAGTAACGAAGTGGTGTGATGTGCAGTGTACTATGTAAATCAAACTATAAAACGTGTTTTTTTAGATAGCGATCGATAGGTAACAATTTTTATAATAATTATCAAAAATTTTAAATATATGCACAGCTTTAACAGGTTGATAGATTTGAATAAAATTTCGTAAAGGCCAGTATTATGTCTTTACAACTAAAGCTATAGAGCTATTTCTTTAATTTTCTTATTTAAACAAAAAAAATTTTAATATGATATGTTATATTTTCTTAAAGAAAAAACAAAAAAAAAGGTTTAATTTAGTTTCTTTTAAAAAAATGACTAGCTTTGTAAAAACATATTACTGATCTTGGTGAAATTTTATCCAAAACTATCAAACTGTTAAAGCCATATGTCTATTTAAAATTTTATAGTAATTATTATAAAATTGTTACTTATTAATCATTATTTATCTAAAAAAAGTTATAGTTACATAATACACCTAGTGAAGCGATCATCTGATCATATACTAGATACATTAAAAAGTCAATTGACAATTCAAACTAAAAATTGCAAGCAGGTGATGCGTACATCTATGTGCCTATCACCTGATTTGAAAATCATGCTTTTTATCCAATCAGTGTTCATCACGTCGAATTTATTTGAACAATCTGTGTATAACGTTAAGATTAAAAACATTAATCATTTTTTAAAAATTGTTTTTATCTTAAAATTTCGTTTATAAAACTAACTTCTTCGTTCTAACAAAAACATTCTTTACTAAATTTTAATATATTTTTTAACACTAATCCTAACACTAATTAACAGTATTTTTTTAATAAAAAAACATAAATACATATTGAAATAATATAAACAATAATGATTATTTCTATTTTGGGCAGTGGGTACATTAGAGTGTGATACAGCAAAAAAATTTGGCATGCCATTAGCCAAAATTTATGCTATGTCATATTATAGGTATACTATTAGCATGCTAGAATATAATTGAACCATCTTTCAGAATATTTAGAATCTTTGCTTCAATTTTCTCTTGTAATTTTATATTGTCTGATTTTCTACTCAGAATATTTCAAAATATCCAAATATCTGTTTAGCCAGAATGAAACATATCATATAAGTGGCATGCCTATAGACTATTTTTGTTTTAGATATACCTTATAACATATCACCATTAGCATGCTATGATGATATACCCATGACCACTATATCATACACCCTAAAGCACATAGATATATCCAAATTATATATACCACTAAAATAGATTTTCAAAAAACCTCTATTTTGTTTTTATTAGAGCAATTTAAAATTTTTTATATGCAATAACAAATCTAATTTAGGTAGTTATATTTTTTATAATTTCGTCTTTTCAAAAAAAGTGTCAAAAATTTCATTTTTTAAGTAAAATAGGTCAATACAATTTCGCTTCAAATTTTAATTTTATATTCTGAAATCTAAAATAATTTTATCAGCATATATAGACAGGATGTAGAATCGATTTTTGATCATGTGATTTTTGAGCTAAAATTAGCCACAATCAGATATAATGTAAAAAATCAAAACAAATACTTTTTTGAAAAAATCAAGAATATCTCAGAATTTAATTTAATTAACTACCTTCTGTACTCTAAGTAAACATTTTCCTTGTATGATTTTACTATTAGAAAGCCTTTGTAATTATAAAATGAATTTTCATCAAACCAAAACCTTAACTTAAACAAAAATTCCAAGTTTTTTGACATTATTATATGATTAGAAAATTGATCCTAAGTCCTGTCAATTTTAATATATCTGTGAGTGACAAAATCATTTGCAATATATAAAATTTGCTAGTTGTTAAGTAATATACTGTATATTGTTTAACTAAATTAGGTAATAATAAATATTTAATTGTTTGAATAATATTATTATAGTTAGAGAATATACTAAATTAGAAAATCAGATTCTAGAATGATCTATATATCAAATTTGATTAACTCCTATATACATTTTTGTTAGCTTTTCTTAGAAATTTTTTATCATATTCATTTATTATTAAAAATTCACAAATAAAAGTTTAAGTAGATAAAAAAAGATATATAGTTTAAATAATCTACAATAATCTATACCAGTTAACTTTAGTTAAAAAAGTTAATAAAACTTAAAAAATTACAAGATTTTAAAGTTAATATATAAAAGCTCAAGAATTTTTTTATTATTATAGTCTAACCTCTATAAATACAATATGTACAGACCAGTCAAGACCATGCATTTAAGAAGGTTTGCATTTAGGAAGAGCTAATCAAATTGCAGTTTTTAATATTTGATCTGCAGGTTTGTATAACATAATTTCTGATTGGCTATATGCATTTAGAGAGGTTAGCATAATATAAAAAATTTTTTGAGTAAACTTGCATTTACAGAATATAGAACGTGCATTTAGTACTAATTATTTCATACAGCCAAAATAAAAATGTGTATTTAGGGAGATATTACATTTACAGAGGTTGCATTTAAGAAAATATTATATTTACAGAGGTTGTATTTAGGAAGAATTAACTGTATCACCAACTAAACAATTAGAGACATGACAAAAATCAGGTGATTTTTTAGGAGAGGAGAAGGGTAAAAATTTTAAAATAATATATAAGAACCTGATCAAATTATACATTAAGGTGAGGGAAAGGAGTAAGCTTCTGATAAAAAAAAAATTAAGTAATAAATAACACTGTCCTTATTATAGATCGAAAGGTTTTGCAAGTACTTAATATTTTGTTATTCATAGTGGTTTTGTCTATAATAGTCAAGAGACATGTTTATATATTAGAGTTTAGATTGCTGTTATTTATAAATCAAATGAGTTGACTTACCCTATTTTTATATATAAATTTATATAAAAAAATTACTTATATTTAATTTTTGTAAAAATATATATATAAACTTTTCTTTAAACTTTAAATATATATTTTTTAGTATTTAATGATCTTTGGTTTTAAGCCAAAGTTTTTAATCACTAGTATTATGATATTGTGTTTTATAGAAATAATAGTATAATTAAAACAATTATATCATCTGATATAACTTAAATATCCTATGATAAAATCAGCTATAAATTTAGTATATTTGTCAGAATAAAATCAGGTTATTGCTAATAATAAGTATAAAAAATATAATAATATAATAATTAACTATTTAACTAATGGTTTTAAAAGAGGAAATAAATATATATCGCATATTTATTTACATTTTATTTTATTTTATTTTATTTTATTTATTTTATTTTTATTTTATTTTTTTATTTTTATTTTTTTTAACTTAGGCAATCTTACTAGTGATCTTTTATTAAAATTATTTTGTCATAGACTATACAAAATGTTGAGCTTAATATTTAGGCCTAATATTTTGCAGTTACTTCTAAGAGCAC